AGCCTCTTTGAGGGGCACCCTGGGGCTGGGGATGGCCGCCTAGAGGCCTTTGCCTCCACCCTCACCACCCGCTACTTTGAGCTGCTGGAGCGACGCCTGGCCCTGGAGCGAGGTCTGGGCGACACGTCACTGTTGGTGCGGGCGCTTGACCGTTTCCATCGCCGCCTCCGTGCTCTCCTGGAGCTGCTGCCCGCAGCCGGGGCTGAAGCAGGTGCTGCACTGGTGGCCCGAGCAGCGCGTGAACGGGTGGCCCGCTACCTGCGGGCACTGCAGACCTTCTTTCTGGGGTGCCTGGGTGATGTGCGCCAGGCGCTGGCTGCACCACGACCTCCTGGTAAGGATGGCCCTGGACTGCCTGACCTCTTGGCCACGCTCTCTTCCTCCGTTCTTGGTCAGCTCAAGGCCGTCCTGGCCTATGTGCAGCTCTTCACTGCCAGGGATGTTGCATTTGCCAGCCTGCCCTACTTCAAGGTGAGTTTGGGGGCAGTGAGAGGGTCACAGGGATGATTTGGGGGTGGTTAGGGGATTGCATGGGGCAGGTTCTGCGTTGCAGAGGGCAGATTTGGCTTCATTGGAACTCTTTAAAGGTCAGTGGGGCTTGTACAGGATGGATTTGAGGTTGCACAGCTCGTACTGGGGGACAGTGGGGAAGTGTGTGAGGAACTGTTAGGGACTATGGTGGAGAGCTCCATTGAGCTCCAAAAGTATTTTTGAGAATGCAGGGGAGCTTTTTGATGGTCCCAGGGTGGTATTTTTGGGGCAGAACCCTCCGGTTTTGGTCACAGTCATGTCTGCATGGTGACATGAGTGTGATGTCAGTGCCCAGAAGCAGTTCTGTGGGGTGCAGATGAAGCTTTTAATGGTGCTGTAACAGCTTTTTGGGGTGTCAGTGTGGTATTTTTGGAGTGTAATCCTCCCATTTTTGGTCACAGGGGGAGTTCTGTGTCAAGGCAGTGCGTGAAGGGCTGGTGGTGGCCTTCGTGCGCTGGCTCTGCCGTACTGCTCGGGGCTTTGCTGACAGCCCAGCTGAGCGAGGTGCCCCTGCAGCACCCCCAGCACTCCTGCTGCTCCTTGCCCGTCTCTGCCTTGACTACGAAGCCACTACCATCAGCTACATCCTCACTCTTACTGATGAGCAGTTCCCTCCAGAGGTAAGCCGCCCCAACTGTCCCTGTTGGCCCAGAATGGCTAAGAGGGGATCCTGACTGTTCCCAGATGTAACAATTTGGCCCTGAGTTCCTAGGTGTCCCAGTGTCTGTCCATGATTTCGTAGTGTTGAAAAGGCATAGAGACCTTTCTTCTAATTGAGTGTGATCTGGGGACTCCAAAATGTCCTCAGGGGGATCCTCCATGTGCCCACTGTCTCCGTCTCCATCCAGAATGTGGTCCCTCCTCTGCACGTGGATGCGGAAGTGTCCCCAGGGTGTCCCAAGGGGCAGAACAGAATGTTTCCAGGAGGCAGTGGGGAAATGCGTATCCCCAAGTCCCTCCAAATGCTCCAAGGGCATGAAGACAGCAGTGACACAGCAGCATATTCAGCAGCCTGGAGAGCATCCTTTGTACTTCCAGGACACAGGGCCAGCAGTGACGCCAGGGCCAGCGCTGTGTGCCGAGGCACGGGGAGCGGCGCAGCGGCTGCTCGACCACTACGTACAGGTCCAGGGAGCTGCGGTGGCACAGATGCTGCGGAAGAGTGTGGAGACACGGGACTGGTTGGGCACCGTCGAGCCCCGCAACGTCCGTGCTGTCATGAAGCGTGTGGTCGAGGACATCACTGCCATCGACGTCCAGGTCAGGGCAACACTGACTCCCTGGGGAGTCTCCCTTGGTGTCCCTAAATCTGGTGTCCCCAGAATGTCCCAGATGTTCCTGGGAGCGTTTTCAAGTTTCAGAGGGTCCCTGGTGGGGAGGGGCTGACATCCCTGGAAAGTCTAGAGAGGATCCCTGTGGTTCCAATAAGATTCTTAATGATTTTAAGGGGACCCAGAGGGGTTTGGAAGGATCCCAGGGGGACTAGGAGGTTTCAGAGGGTTTTAAGGGATCCTGGTTGGTTTTGGGAACCTCAAGATATTTTGGGTGGATTTGGAAGATAGTGATGTGATGCTACAGGTGGGGCAGCTCCTTGAGGAAGGAGTGCGGCGGGCGCAGAGCAGTGACTCGAGCCGACGTGCCTTCTCTGTGTACAGCAGCTCACGGGCACCAGGACGCTATGCTCCCAGCTACACTCCCAGGTCAGCTCTGTGCCCCAGGCCACCTCTTGGTCACTGTCCAGTTACCCCGGGTCACACCTTTGTCCCCATGTCCATGACCATCCCCATGTCTTCCCAACTGTCTTAACATCTCCAAATATTTAAACTTTCCCCTACTGTCCCCATGTCCCTGTTGTCATCTTCACATCCCTATCTCGATATCCATCCTCCTTCTCTGGCTGGCCCTGCATCCTCAAACAGCCCAAATATCCCTTGTTTATTCCCAACTTCCCCAGCTGTTTCCATCTTCCCTTCTGTTCCTATGTCCCCAGGCAGTCCTAGTATCCCCTGATGATCCCCATGTGCCCCATGTCTATGTCCTGTGGCTGTCTCCATGTTCCCTGACTGTCCCCACATCCACTGTCCATTCCCATGTTCTACTGACTGTTTTTGTGCACCCAAACTGTCCTCGTAGCCCATCTGTCTTGGTATCCCCTGACAGTGTTTGTGTTCTCTGTCTCTCAGTCTCCTTCCCTTGTTCCCTGACAATCCCTGCATTCCCTGTTTTTCTGCACGTATCTTCCCCTTGCCTTCCGACTGTCTCTGCATCCCTGATCGTGCTGTTGTCACCATCCTCAGCGCCCCCATGGACACTCACCTGCTCAGCAACATCCAGAAGCTCTTCTCTGAACGCATTGACATCTTCAGCCCTGTTGAGTTCAACAAGGTGAGGCATGGGAACATGCCAGTGTCCCCAAGGGCAGCTCTTGACCCCACATCCCAAAGGCCCCAAAGCTGTCTGCCTTCCTACCTGTCACATGCCCCTGGTGTCCCTGTGTCTCAAGTTGTGGGGTTCCCCAGAGCAGGACAAGCATGTCTGGACTTCAGGGAGTCCCTGGGATGTGGACCAGGATGAGGGAGTCCCCATGCCCCTGTTGGTGAGACTGGTCCACCCCCAACAGCCCAACTGAGGGCATCCCTGACCTCCCATGTGACACGTCCCATGTATCAGAACTCAGGACGTCCCTGGGGGCTGATGACCAGGATGAGGATTGTCCCTTAATTCTTCTCATCCCCAAGTAGCTGTGGCACAAGGCTTCCCTGTGTTGGGCATCCCCTGATGCCACTTGTCCCCATGTCCCAGGTGTCAGTGCTGACAGGAATCATCAAGATCAGCCTGAAGACACTGCTGGAGTGCGTGCGGCTGCGAACTCTGGGGCGCTTTGGGCTGCAGCAGGTGCAGGTGGACGGCCACTACCTACAGCTCTACCTCTGGCGCTTTGCTGCTGATGAGCGTGTGGTGCAGGGGCTGCTGGATGAGGTGGCTGCCAGTGCTGCCCACCGCTGCCTTGACCCTGTCCCTATGGAGCACAGCGTCGTTGAGCTCATCTGTGAGCGTGGGTAGGACCTGAGGGCACCTGAGGACATGGGTAGATGCACAGGTGAGGGGGAACAGGAGCCATCTGTGTGACCTCGTGTATTTAAGGACACCCCATGTATTCCCACACATGACACATACAGACATATCATGCCCTCACACCTGTAAGGTCACCCCGTGTTCCCCCCAGCCCCAATAACACCCCACAGTCTCTCCCCACCCCCGTGATGCCCACCCCCATGTCCCCCCCCATCCCCAATGATGTGCCACTTCATTCCACTTCTTTGGTGACATCCTCCCCTACACGTGGGACATGCTGCATGCAGTCCATGTGTCACAGTTGAGAACAGTAAATAAAATGCATGCAAGTTAAACCTTGTCCCTGTGCCTGAATGCCTGGGGGTGAGAACATGTGGGCCCTAGGGGTTGGGTTTCTCTGGATAAGGGGAGCACTTGAACACCTGAGTTCCTGCTAGGTAGCAGGGGGACCCAGCCCCTCATGTGAGCACCCAGTGCCTCGTGCAAACATCCATTTCTTCCTGGCAAACTTGTACAAGCACCCCCTGTGCACCATTGCACCCTGCACAGAAGTTACCACTAGCAACAAAACATATATTTTAGTGACACAAGGTTGAAAATGTGATAAGTGAAAATCAAGGTAAGAGAATGTTTTGTAGAGCTCTTAGTTGTGGTTGCTGCTTTGTGACCCAGCTTTAGCAGTTGAAGGTCTGACATTTCAAAGCTTCTCACTTCTGTTCTTGTTTAATGAGAGGAAACTTGGGAATGTCTCTCATTACATTCTCTCCCCCTTCCCAAGCCACTCATTTGAGATGATGTGGAGAGAGAAATAATCACAGGCTTCTGAGTGCAGGACAGGAGGGAAAAGAACAGCAGGATTTATTTGCTTCACACTTTTCTCCCTGGTTGGCCTTTGCTGACAGGTTCAGAGCTGCATCTGCATGCCTCAGCCAGCCTGCAATCACTGTGCCAGCTCTGCCGGACAGTGCAGGGAGCTGGACTGGCACTCAGCCCTGACCAGAAGATGTACATTTTTAAGTAGTGTGTTAATCGCATTAACACTTGAGGAAATTTGAAGTTACTCTGTGTGTAACATGTTAATGTAACAATTGAGAGGGCTACTATTAGATGGTGCTAGAAAACAATATTTCAAAGAACAGTTAGCTTCATGCGAATTCCTGCTTTGTCCTGCAGTGGCAGGGACAATTCAGTTTGGATTCGAGAATCTTCATGTTCAGCTTTTCAATTTAAGGTTAATATTAAGGATTTAGCATGTGTGTATATATACACACGTATATATAGTGCACTTTCTACAGGAAAAGCATGACTGAGTTCTGTACAGTTTAAGAACAGAATGCTGTTATCTTGATTTGCAGCCTAGCAAACACATGAGCAAAAGCAAAACACAAAGGAAAAACAGTCTAAAACCAGTGCTTTATTTACAACTGCTAAAGCAAATTGAAACTGCAACCATTGTGAAGATCAGACCGTTCTGGTGGCACTTCATCATAAGTCATCAGCTTCAAAATGGACAAGAGTTGGGAGCTGCCACGTTTAAAGGAAGCAGTAGTAAGAACCAAATGAAGTCACTGCTGCCTCCTTTTCTACCTGCCTTCCCTGCACATCCTTTCTCAGACTTGGAAAAAAAGACACCTAATCCAGCTACAGTAGGATTTAGTGTTTTGACATAGCACAACAAAGGTCAACACTGTCTATTTCTGTCTGGACCTGGATTAGTCCAAAGCCAAAGGAAACTTGCAGCCATTGATGAATATAGGCTCATTAGAGAGGAGGAAGACTGAAACAGGAGGGGGAACGTGTCAGTTCTGCAGAGGTTACTGGAGGACAAGAAAGCCAAATAAGCAGAGACTTGGAGCAGGGAAAACCAGAATGTGCAAGTATTTGGTACAGAAAACAGATGAGATAAAACAGTGCTTTTGTGCAGCTGCTTTGTAGAGTCAGAGCAGGAGGCTTCTGCAGTGGAGGTTTGTCTCGTGTGAGAAAGAGCTTTTTGTTTCTGGTCTTTCCCCAGACAGGCATAGTGTTTTTAAAGTTATAAATCTCTTACTGGAATTAGAGGCAGTCTTGAATAATTTAGCTATGGAAGATCACAGCTAGGGTGTAACGCAAGTGAGATGCTGATTAGCCCAATGCAAAGACAGAGAAGGGAAAGGAACTTTTATTTTCCAGCTACCACACTGCATTGCACGTTTGTGGGGAACACTTGTTTTGTAAACCGAACTGGTTGGGGTGTGCTTTGCCACATGCCTGACACCAGCACTGCAGACAGGGCTCTGCAAAGCAAGTTAATTGTTTCTTAGGTTGCCTCCTATATTAATAAATAAATCCCTTAACCTTTGGATTGAATCTTTCCTCGACCTCTCCAGCATCACCCCACCAGCATGGTTTAGAAGTTTTACTGGACCTCAGCCGCACCTTTCAAAGTGCTTTAATAGCAGGGTGCTCTAATACCTGAAATTTACTGTAACAAGGCTGTAATTAGCTTTCTCATCTGTCCTCTTAAAATCTTTTGCTCTATACGTGTGCAAATCAAGGCAGCTTGTGGACTCTGACTCAGCCTTCCTGTTGGGTCCATTCAAAGCTTTACCTAGATGGATGATGAAGACCAAGCGAGCAATCAACGTTGTGCTCCTCAGCAACTCTTCGCTGAAACCACCGGAAAGTATCGGGGTTAGTACCTAATGCTAACTTCATTTCAAAACTACAGATTTCATTTCAACACTGACACCAAGGATATTAACAGGTCTCCAAGTCAACAGGAAACAGAGACCAAGCACAAAAATCATACAATCACAAGGTTGGAAAGGACCTACAAGATCACCTAGTCCAACTGTCTTCCCATTACCATTGCTACCACAAGCACTAAACCAGATCTCGTAGCTCCTCATCCAGACACCTCTTGAATGCTGCCAGGGTCAGCAGCTTCACCACCTCCCTGGGCAGCCATTCCAGTGCCTCACCACTCTGAAAGAAGTTTTTCCTTATGTCTAAGAGCTTAGTGGCCGCACTGGACTAAGTTGCACGTTCATAATTCCAAAGTTTATAAATCATCACCCTAAACTTTGCAGCTTCCAAAGCTCTGATTTATTAAACTTGTATTGACAAATGTCTGGATTTGTCAGATTTGGCAATTATCAGTAATGGAGATAAGACAAAAGTATCCCTTAAGAATTGGCTGCAAGAAATAAAGGCATGAACATCAAAACCATGTGATATGTGGAAATCCAGTTAGAATGAAGTGGTCACTGCAGGGCAGGCGGCTGTCCAGATGGTGGCTGATGAGTGGCTGGAGGGCTACAAGCACAACCACACCACCGTGTTCCTGCAGCTGCTCACCTTCATCATCCACTCCTGCAGCTGCCAAGGGATGGTGACAGAGTGATGCTGTGGGAGGTGGACAACACCGCTATCATCCAGTGGCTGACGGAGCTCTTCCAGGAGCACTTGTCCAAGTACCTGCTGTCCCTGCAGATACAGCCCTGATGCTGTGTATGGCAGTGGCCCTGTGGTGCAGTGTCCTGTACAGTGGTTTACTGCTCGGTGGCCTCATGGAGGAGTTGAGGACGTGAATGCAGCACTTCCCAGCATCATTCCTCACCGATGGACAGCTCAAGTACTTGGGGTGGACCCTGTATGACAAGCAGGTGGAGGTGCAGCCACACTGTATCCGTGCACTGCAGGATCTGTAGGTGCTGTGGAACATGGCTGCTCAGATGGAGCTGTTCACTGGGTGCTCCAAAGGCTGCTTGTTAGTCGTGGTGCTGGATAAAGACTCGGAGGTGGAGTTTGCAGGGCTGTTGATCGAGGAATTCTCCCGGAGGCGCTATGGCCAACTGTCACCCGGTGTACCTGGTGGTGTTTGGCATTCACCGCACTGCCACCAGACTGTTACTGTACTGTAACTGTGCCTGTAGGACCCTCATCGTGACAGTGACATGGCATTACCATGTGACAGTGACAACTGCCTGTTTGTCTGCCTGCTGTGCCATTTCTTCCTCTGCAGCGAGCTCCACGAGCATGCCACGTTCCTGGTGGACAGCTTACGGGACTGCACCAGAAAGTGGCTGCACAAGTGGGAAAGGGTCCGTACCATGCTGCTGTAGGATGCCCTCACTGACTGCCAGAAGGCCCTCCTGGAGCTGTTGGCCACTGCCACCACATGGGTGACACAGGGACAGCCCCCCAAGGATGGAGACACCCTCAGAAGCTGCAGCATAAAGTACAGGTGGAAGAACACGTGTCTCAGCCATTGCTTGGAACCAGTCATGAACTGTTGGCCAAGTTCTCGGTGGACATAGAGAAGGTGATGCTAATGATGGAGGTGTTAAGGTGTATTGAACTCGGGGTGTACTGCACTAGGTGGATGGAGAGGGGGGCTGGCGCAGGCACTGGCCCAGCTCAAGGAGCTGGTGCAGAAACATATGGGGCTGGAGGTTTTGAGGGCAGATGCCTGTGCTTTGGATCATTCTGTGACCCACAACTGCCACTGTGTGGGCATGGGGACCTCATCTGGAGCTGGTGACTGTGCTGTCATTAGAATACTCATTTTATCTTCGAGAACATTGGCAAAACACTGGTGAAAAGTTATTTGGAATGTCTGTTGGGAAGTCCCAAAGATCCCAAAGCATGGCAGACCTAGAAAGGCTCTGAACAAGTCTGTCAATCACGTAATTTTAGTTCAGTGAAACTGCTGCACAAGAACCAAGATCAAGTCCCCACTTTGGACACAAGATAGTAGAGGATGAAGAAAACAACAATCAGTCCTATAGAAACAAAGCAGAGTAACTTGCGGTTCTCCCTCCCGGACCGTGTCATGGTGGTGAAACGCTTCACACTGCCAGTCAGCAGGCCTGTCACACTCATAAAATCTGAATCCTGGAGGAGAAAGAAAACACAGAAAGAGGCATTTTAAACTGGAAAAGCAGTCCACGAAGAGTCCTGCTTCCTGCTTAAAAAACAATTGCAGCAGGAGCTGCACAGTAACTGTCTGTGTCTCTGTGCCTATCATGTCTCTCTCAGTAGGAACTTCCCTGCCATTGCTCATGGCAACGGCACAAGTAAATACTTCATACAAAGGAAATGTCTCTACATAAGCTAGCACCACTAATGCATGCCAGGTCAGACTAAAAAGCACCAAAATCATGCAGTTTCTTTCCATCAGTTCTCTCTTTTCAGCATGGGGCAGCATGCATCTGTACCACCACCAGGTGGTAGCAAACAGGTCTCAGATCAATGCAGTTATCATTTTGACTCCTTGTCTGTTTTCCTTACTCATAAACTACCTCCCAGTTTTTGATCATGTTTCTCCTGAAACATCTCAAAATCTCTCTAACAGAAGCACAATTTCATGCTGATTCAGGGCTTCTCCTTTAAGATCTCTTGCCTTTACACCTCTTATTCCAGCTCTCCACTCTTCTAATTTCTGGACTGAACAAATATCCATTTCAGTTACTCAACACCATCAGCGTACACGGCTATTAAACTTCCAAGCTGAGCTCCCACCTTTGACCAAACTGGTTTCAACATGGAAATTCATGTTTTTTACACTATTTTTGGTTCCTTACCATGCCATCCAGGTATCGGTTTTGTTCATCTGCATCTTTATCAATATCCAGAGCCAGCTACAGAGCACAAGAGAGAACACTGATATTAATGAACTTATAACACGAAGACAACCTAGAATGCATCTAAATGCTTGTAAAACCTGAAACACATGCTAGAGGATGCAGTGGCTTGCTCTTCATCTGCCACACAAACAGGTTTGTGAAGCACAGCCACAAAACAAGGTTCTTACTGCTCTTTCAGGCTGTCGGAATTCTTCAGCTGTAGAAATAAAGCTTGGCAAGGTGGCAGAAACTTTCATATGTCAGACATATAAAGCTCCTTCCAGCAATGCTGCCAACAGATGATGGACCAAAGATTCAGAATTGCCTCCTACTGGTACAAGCCATGCCATCGCATGACCACAGGGCTCTCCGAGGGCCGTTAAGACGTAGGAAGCCCACTGACCACACATTCGTGTTGCTCGTGAGACCCTGCAAGCGTACAACCGCGATAACCGCCTTTCCTTCACCACAGCACCAGCAACTCACCGACTTCAGCCTGGTGACTTTGCTGGCCAGGCTCTCTGCCATGCGCTTGTTTTCCACGTCCAGCATATCCTCCATGGCAACCGCATTCTGTCCTGAGAAGAAAAAAGATGCGTCTCATCAGCCTGGCGCGGTGCACCGCACATCCCCGCGGCGCGCTGGGCGCACTGCCCCATATGGCGGCGGGGCGCCCCTCGGCCCCGTTTGGCGGCCCCTCGGCCCAGCGCGCCGCTCGCGGCCTGCCCCTCACCTCGCCCCCAGTCCGCCATGGCGGCGCCCGGCGTGGCGGGAGGCGGTCCCGCCCGGCAGGAAGAGCCCCGCCTCCGCAAAATGGCTGCCGGGCCACCGCCTTCCCAGTTGGGTGGCGGGGCCGGGTGCTAGCGGCGCGTGCCCTTGTGGTTAGCGAGCTCCGAACGCGGGAGATGCGGCAGGGCGCCGGGGACAGGCAGGTAACGGTGCTTCCTCCCGCCTCCCCACCACCTGGGTCTGCCCGCCTCAGGCCGTCCGCCGCCTGGCTGGCTGCCTGTCCTCCCCAGCTCCGCTTGCTTCCCGGGAATGTTTCTGGGTTTGTTTGTTTTTGTAGCTGCTCCCCGCGATGGCAGGAATCGGGGCAGGCCGGGGAGGAGGAGCAGGGAGCTATTTCGGGGAGCGCCGCGATCTGCCGCGGTAATCTTCAGGCAGGGACGGGGGGGCTGTCCCAGCGCTGCGCTGGGAGGGCGTGCATTAAACGTCGGAAAGCAAAGGGAAAGAAGAGGATTAGAGGGGCAGAGAGGGGGGCTGGCCGTACGTGGCTCACCCATCTGCTCTGCTTTATGGACGTAACAGCGAGCCATCTCACTTGATTTTTATTTCTTTTCCTCCTCCTTTTCCCCACCCCTTTCTGGCTCCCTCTCAGCTCTTAGGATCTAGATCCCTTTGCACCACTGTTATCCAGGAGCCCTGGAAGCCCCTCACTCCCCTTCCTCTCTGCTTCCCCTTCCTCTGTTGCTGAGCTGTTGATGTAATGGAGCTCAGGACTGTAGTGGCCACGGTGGAAAACGGGGAGCAAGATGCGGTCCTCAAGGTGCTTCAGATCTACAACCAGGAGGTGAGTAAGCATCACACCTCAGCCTGATGTCACCTGCTTCTGTTGGCAAGCCTGGAAGCAGGTTGGCCTTGTTATGGCATCGCAGTGCTACCCAGCTGTCCCCAGTTTGTCGTCTCTGAGCATCTGTCTCTGTATTTCTTCCCTGGAGATGTCACAGACTGCTTTGTCTTATTACTTGCAGGCTGCATCTTGCTTGATGCTTTGCTAGGAAGCAGCTAAGCAGCCTTGCTTTATCTCGTTTATGCTGGAAGAAAAGCACATGGAAAGGATTTTCTTTATTATCCAGATCACAAGTTAAACCCCATGGGGGAATAATCGTGGGCATGAAGAGTGAGTAGGAGGAGCCTTGATGTTGAGCAAGGCTTGGAGGTAATAAAGCTCACACCAAGGGAGGAGCTGCAGGTGGAATTGTTGTGATTTCTAAGTGAAAGATCATTAGAAACTGGTGTGAACAGAGGCTGGAATTGAATTCAGGTGCCCGATCTGAAAGCTGACACATGGAATAGTGAGTGTGATATATGAAAAAGACTGTGTTGGGAAGCTGAAATGCAAGTGGCTCAGCCTTACAGTGGCAAAGATCATCTGCAGGGGTAGTTCCCTTTTGAAACTGTCTGCCAGGGAAATTTCCTTGAGAGGGTTTCCACCAGGCTAGAGCTGGCCCTGCAGATCTGTGACTCATTCTGCACCATTCCAAAGTAGGAGGGAAAAGCTGGTGGGGAAAACCTGTGAATATTTTACAAGAGTGTGCAAGAGGGGAAGAGCACTTCTATTTCCAGCAGTTGGTTTTGAAACAGGAGAGGTCTTAGCTAAGGACAGTGGATCCCTGTTAAAAGGACGGTCTGCAGGATTAGCATTGCTGGCAGCAGCTGGCATGCTGGAGAATTTAGGATAGCAAATGGCATTTGTTGTGCAACCATGTTGAGGCATCAAAACCAATGCCTTGAATTCCTCCAGCTGGTTTCTTTGTCAGCATATCAAGCGTAGGAAACTCGTGAGAATGTCAATGATTTTGCCAGCCTGTCTGGAAGAAATGGAGCAGCTGAAGAGATGAAACTGATGATAAACCAAGTGACTTCCTCGCATCATTTTTTACTGCAAAAGCTGATGTTATATCCTTCCCTAGTGTGTGTGTGTGTGTATATATATTTAATTCACTATTAAATATGGAGTCAGTTCCTGGTTGCCAGGAATAAAATACAGTTAAAGCAAACCCACAGGTGTGTTATGAAAATATATGTAAATGAGCTCACAGGAGCCTGCAAAGAAGCTCTGGAAATGCCCTGTGCAGGAAATCAGTCTGGCTAACGTTCTGACTTGAGAAGATTCAGTGATACAAGGAGAAGCTCCGCTCTGCATGGAGTTGGGGATGCTGTAGGAGCAAAGAACAAGGATTTGTTTGCAAGTAGCAAGGAGGTGAGGCTTTCTTTTAGGAAGGAAAAGAAACAATAACAAGGGGAGAAGAGTGTAGGCATACCTTGATGGTGTCACTGAGTGTAGTCAAGGTATTTTGCCCAGCAAGGCTGTGGATACTGAGTATCTGGAGGTGCTCAAGGCCAGTCTGAGCGACGTTTTGGGCATACTGATCTGGTGGTGTTCGTGCCTGTGGCAAGGTGTTGGAATTGAGATGATCTTTAAGGTCCCTTAAGACCCAAACCATTCTATGAGTTATGGGGTATTTGGAATGTGTTGAATACCCACCTCACAGCTGCAGTATATAAAATTAAGCTCATCCATCAGAGAGGCGCAGCTTTGGCCTGTGACATGCAGTGTTCACCATTGAGCCAGCAGAAGAGTGCAATGGGTATTCATCAAATGTTTTTCAGGGATGAAAGAGAAGGAAAGCAACTTTGACCTGGCAGCATAGGCTGTATGTTGGCTTTTCAAACAAGTTTCATTCCTGCTTGTGATGAGATGTAGTTGGAGTTGCTGGATACAAGCTGTGTTGAACAGAGAAGACAATAATGAAGCAAAACTCTCAGCAGCAGGAAAACTGTCCTTGTGTCTGGCTCCTCAGGAGCCTGTGCTGCTTGTTACAAATCCTGTGAATACTGCAGACCTCTCTAAGTCCTCTGACACCTTGCCTCTTTGATTCCCTGCCTCTGAGCTGGTAAGAACTGCTCTTAAGAAGGCTTGTATGTCTTTGCAGTGTGTTTTGCAGACCTGTTGCTTTCAGGCTTATGTCCATTCCCCGTTGGGGAAGGCAGTTTTGTGGAATTTTTTAAACTCATACCTTGTTTCTCTTCTGCCCTACAGAAATCTCAGTGCTTCACCTTTGATGATGAGGAACGGGAGGAGAGGAAGGTAGGCATGCTCTTTGGCTTCTTGTTTTTGTTGGATAATGAAATCTGCAGCTCTGAGCTTGTGTGGCAATGCTTGGAGGTGGCAGCTCCTGCAGGGCAGGAGATGGTTTCTTACTCCTGAACCTGATGAAGTACCTGGTAGGTTCTAGTAAGTGGTGGCTGAGGATAAAAATCAGCATTCTTCCAACATTAGCAATCACTTTGGGCTTTGTGATGCATATAGCATCAGCAGCATGCATGAGAAGTGTGATCGTGTGTGTTTGTGTGTAAATGGTGCAAGTCTGCTAAGAAAAGTTCACAGGAGCATGTAGATAAGTGCTTTTGCTCAGAGCCATCTGCAGGATTTGACCAAGGCTGTGTATTAAGAAACCCTTTCAGCTGGAATAATCTGGCACTCAGTGGAAAGAAATATCCCTGTCCATTTCCACTCGTGGCATTTCTCTTATGCCAGGGCAGGCCTTTGCACAGCTGCACTGTGGATATGCTTGGTGGGATCTGCTTTAAGAAAAACACCTTTGTTTTTCTTCTGCCTGGGATATTTTCCATCTGGATCAGTTTTGTGGTGGACTGTGTGTGGAAGCAGGGGATTACTGGTGGAGTATGATGTTTTGATATGTGTAGTTAAAACCTAGCTGCACTGGGTTGTGTGAAGCTTTACCTTTTGCTCTTGTACTTTTCCATGTTTGCTATCACGTATGTTATTGTTACTCACAAGGGTTAGATCTTCAGCTGTGATAAATCAGTGTTACTGGAGCTCTGTCAGTCTGTACCTACTGAGGATCTGGGCTAGTAGGGCTCCAGACAGCTCTGAGATTTAGGGAGGTTCTTTTTATTTGAATCTTCTGAGGTCTTTTCCCCTCCTTTCTTACCACATCACGTGCACTTCTGAACCCATTTTATTCCTTTTCCCCTCCCACAGCAGTTCTCTGGTGCTTCTCAGCCTCAGCAGTCTGTTTTTGGAGCACCCAAAGCAGATGCTTCTCTGGTCTTAAGGCTCTGGGTGTGGCTGAACCACTGCTGTTGAATTGACTGCTGATCCTCAGTGAAGATATAAGGGACTTATTTGCCCTGCTTTCTTAGCTTATTGCAGCTGTCAGGTAACCCATGTTAGCCAAAACCATCCTAACCATGGGTGAAGCTAAAATAAGTAGTTGTTCACTCAGTCAGCAACAGCTGCATCTTCCTGTTCTCCACTTAGATCTGACAGCACTCCCCAGCCATTCTTTGTCTCTTGCTGGTTGTCCTCGCTTGACTTGGGTCAGCGTTAGGTGCCAGAGGCAAACACTTTGAGAGCTGCTGTGCATGGCCTGGATCAGAGCTGTTAGAAGGCCTGTATGTAGATGATGCTTTGTGTCTAGATGATGCTCCCATCTTTAGGGCAGGGTGTTACAGCATGCTACCTTGCACTGGGGCTGCATTGTGAAGTGTCAGCATGTGAGACATTCTTTGTTTTCAACCACACAGAAAATGGCCCAGTTGCTGATCAAGTTCCTGGAAAGAGAGCTCCAGCCATCCTGCCAGGTCACGTGCTTGGAAAGCATCCGCATCCTGTCCCGGGACAAATACTGCCTTGAGCCTTTCACCACCAAGGAAGGGCTGAAGACCCTCTCCAGGCATGCTGGCATTGATTACTCAGAGGAGCTCATCCGAGAGGTCCCAGACTTGGAGGTCATCCTGGAATCCCTCAAATGCCTCTGCAACATTGTCTTCAGCAGCCCGAGGGCACAGGAGCTGACAGCTGAAGCTCGGCTGGTGGTGGGCCTGACAAAGCGCGTCAAACTCTACAATGAGAGGAGCCTTCCTCATGAAGTCAAGTTCTTTGACCTGCGTCTTCTCTTCCTGCTGACAGCGCTGAGAGTGGACATCCGACAGCAGCTAGCCCAGGAGCTCCGGGGCATCAGCCTGATGACAGACACCCTGGAGCTGACTCTTGGCATCAAGTGGATGGACCCCTATGAAGTTGTCACTGAGGAAGGACTGCTTCCACCTTTGCCTCGGCAAGAGACGGAGCGAGCCATGGAAATCCTGAAAGTGCTCTTCAATATCACTTTTGATTCCAGCAAGAGGGAAGTGGATGAGGTAAGCTCCTTGAGTGTTACACCACACTACATTTGCTTGTCTACTGGTTTTCGCCTCTTCTTGCACATCCTTGTGTTAGATACCAGCCCCCATGCGGCCTCTGCTTACATGTAAGTGTAGCAAGAGACTTGTGTGTCTGGACCTTTTTCTGTAGGGCACTGTCTCTGTCTGACACATTAAGACTTTTCAGCATTAAAACCTGCAAGTTGGGCTTTTTTCTTTCTTAATGATATTAATGACTTGTGCAAGTGGGAAAGCAGACCCCCTCCTCCCCCCCCCCCCTCCCCACATAACTCACTTATGTGTGCGTTGTTGCCTTTTGCCTCTGGACAAGATCAAAAGGAGGTCTGACATCATCTCTACTTTATCCCTGGGCCTGCTCCTGGGCCTCTTCCAGCCCTTGACTTGGTGCTGTAGAGTGATGGGGAAGGTATCTGGCAGCAGATTGAGAATCTGGAGGATATTTGCATGTATACCCCCTGATACGAGTGAGCAGGTTGTTGCAGGGCAGGGATGGGGCTGTGGGTTGTAGGGGCAGCAGGATTTGGTTTGTGGAGAATTCACTTTTCTGATCAAGGTTTTCGTTTTCTGTTTTGGAACCAGGAAGATGCTGCTTTGTACCGGCACTTGGGTGCCCTCCTGCGCCACTGCCTCATGATCTCTGCTGACGGGGAGGACCGGACAGAGGAGTTCCACAGGTCTGCTAGATAACTAGATAATGGCCTTTACTGGACACAGCCTCGAGGTCTCCCCAGCGCTGGCCCTGCCTGACCTTGGCATTAACATCCTTTGCTTATATGGTGATTGTTAGGACCACTGCTGAGAAGCAGGCATCTTTTGTCTGGTTTGCAAATTCCTCATGCTGCTAGAGTTCAGAAGTAGCCTTGTCCTTTGCAGTCAAATTGTGTGCAGTCATACCACAGCCTGGTTTACAGGAGAAAAATGTTTGGTCTGCGCCTTCCTGACTGCTGAGGTCATGTTCAGAGTAATGTATCAGGTCCCTTTGATGGTGCTACCCACAGTGAGCCAGGGCAGATGTTTTTTTGTCTTTTTTTTTTAATTAAAGAGTCCCTGGGCTGGTCTTAATTAACTGTACGTCTCCTGAGCCATGCTCAGAAATTGCATGTGTTACACTGTTGGGCCTTATTGGTTCAGGGCTGTCAGCTTTGAGCAAGCAGCACCATCTGTCCCTAGGAAGACCACAATAGAAAGGATCCTGAGCAATGCATTCTAGCAGCCATCAGAGTATGAATGAGTGATGCAGCAGCAGTCCCTAGAGACCACCCTCTCTCCACCTGGCTTGGTCCTAGTTGGCCTCTGTGTCAAGGTCTGTGGTTTTTCTGTTGTCACTGAAGTATTTTTGGACTTTCAGCAAGTTGTTCAACTGTACTGTGGGGTGGAGGAGGGAAGCAGTTTCGCTTATTCAATTCTAGTGGTGTAGGTAACTTGGGATCCAGCCCAAAGAGAGCTTGGTTCTGTTTTCAGAGTCCTTTTGCTCCTGGAAGTTCATGAAGAACCTTGATTCCTGTATAGTTGGTGAATTTCTATGAACAAAGATCCATGACTATGTATACACCTCTGTTCTTTCTTAAGCCACACAGTTAATCTTTTGGGTAACCTGCCCCTGAAATGTCTGGATGTTCTCCTGACCCCAAAAGTCCGCCCGGGATCGCTGGAGTACATGGGTGTCAACATGGATGCGGTTAATATCCTGCTGGATTTCCTAGAACGACGCCTTGACAGGGTAAGCTGAGAGGCTGCTGCACAGAGCTCTTCACTGCTGCTTTTCACAAGTTCAGTGCAGAGCACGTTTCTGTAAGCTTGCATTCAGCCTTGGTGCTGAGCAATTCAATTCATCGTGTCAAAATCACAGGAGTGCAAGTAAAAGGCATGGCTACTTTGGAGACAGTGCTGTACAGAAGTGGCAGTTGTAGTTGGTAGGACTAGAACATTTGTGAACTGGGAGGGTCACTGGCACTGCTGTTATGGCAGGTAGTGAGATTGACAGAGCCAGCAGATGCTTATCTTTGTGATTCAAATATTCTGTTTCACTCAAGTCAGTTATGATTTGGTAGGCAGCTTAATTGGTTGATGCAGGCAAGTCTCTAGACTGGTGGCTTGTTATGACACTGTCCCAACAGTCTGCTGTCAGAAGACTGGCAGTCATAGTGTTATTTGTCAAGAGCATTTGTCTTTCTTTACTCCTCCTGGGCACTTGTCCCGCTTCGTTCCATTGCTTTTGACAGCCTGATTTTTGTACTGTTACTGAACTAGTGGCCATTTTCATTCTCTGGAGTTATTCCAGAGGGTCTTCAGATTTTACTGCTGCACTTATCTGCTCTAGATGTTCTGCACTGAGTAGAAATGCTGAACAGAGGGACTCAGAAAGTCTTGCTGTTGGAGGAATGATGAAACATTGAATTTCCTGTAGCAGAAGCTGTTGTTATGTCTCAGTGTCCCTCTGTTTCCCTGCAGTTCAGTGCTGATGATCTCCACCATGAGCCAGGGAAGTTGAGCTCAGTGTAACTGACATGTTGCTCATCTTGTGAATGCTTCTGCAGGGACATAAGCTGAAGGAGAGCTTGACCCCTGTGCTGAACCTGCTGACTGAGAGTGCCAGAGTCCACCGCCAGACAAGGAAGTTCCTGAAGGCAAAGGTATGCCATGGATTCAGCTGAAAGTCAAGTGGTGGTGCTCTGAGGAGAGAGGAGAATAGCAAGCTGCCTAAATATTGCCATTCTCCAAGGAGACTTCCTCTCTCTGTTAGATTCATATATATGTGGGGTTGAAGCCCATGATGCGCACGGTGTTTTTCTCCACCTCCCCCCGTGCTCTGTGGATTTGTTAGACTTAGCTGACTTGTACAGTGCATGCACTTCTTTCCCTGCCTACCCTACGGATGCTGTTTCAGCTCCAGTTACTGCTTCTCGCTGTGGCTCTGTAGGTGCTGCCTCCGCTGCGGGATGTGAAAAATCGTCCAGAGGTGGGGAACTCGCTGCGGAACAAGCTGGTGCGTTTGATGACCCACATCGACACCGACGTGAAGCACTGTGCAGCTGAATTCCTCTTCGTGCTCTGCAAGGAGAGCGGTGAGTCACAGGGAGTCCTGGGGCGTGGGGTGGTGACCCTCTGCAGAGCACCGCTTCTCCATGGCCTTCAGCTGAGCTCACTGTTGGCACGCGCAGCAGGAGGATCAACACGAGGTCCGTCTCTCTCCTGCTAGTGTCACGGTTCGTGAAGTACACAGGCTACGGGAATGCAGCTGGGCTCCTGGCAGCACGAGGCCTGATGGCTGGTGGCCGGGAGGAGGGAGAGTACTCGGAAGACGAGGACACTGACACGGAGGAGTACAAAGAGGCAAAGCCCAAGTAAGAATTCTGCTTCCTCTCTGTTAGCATCCCCCTTCCTCCACCTCCTTCCTGCTCCAGCTCTATCTCTTTTTTTCCTGTCTATCCCTGCCAACTCCCTTGTCTTCTTTCATTATTGACGTTTTGCCCTTAGTTTTGATGTTGTTCCACTATCTTTACCTTTTTCTTGGGTGAAATGCTTCCGTGGCAGAGCTTTTACCTCTTTGCTTCCCTCCTTTGCACTGGTCTCACTGTTCTTGTAGCATTAATCCTGTGACGGGACGTGTTGAGGAGAAACTTCCCAACCCCATGGAAGGGATGACTGAAGAGCAGAAGGAATACGAAGCCATGAAGTTAGTCAATATGTTTGACAAGTTGTCCAGGTATGAGAAAACTGTGTGTGTTTATGCCTGTATTAGCGTCTGTGTGATTTACATTTATCACTGGCCCCTGCAGACTGTAGGGTCATGAGACTAGGGACGATACCTGGAGAAGTATTTCCAAATTTGCATAAGCTGGGTCCTGTTAAATCATTAATAGGTGCCACAAAGAGGGGCCTAGAGTCTGCTAAGTGTTCTGATTGCCCTCCTGAGGGGTAGGAGGGAAAGAGGCAGTACACTTGATGCATGAGTTTTTCCACGGTGTGTTAAAGGATGAGAACAGACATTGATGTCTCTGTTTTCCTCTGGCCATCCTGCATTGCAGAATGAGACCCTAAAAACAGATTCTATTTCAGGGTAACTGAGAACTGCAAAACCTGTGGGTTGTATTTCCAGCTGTTGCCTCACTGTCCTCATCTCTTACATGGGATTTTTGCTTTTGGTGCTGGCTTGAGGGATTGCTCTGGGCTGCTTCATGCCAGTTTCCTGCAGTTCTTGCTGCAGGACTTCCTTTCCTCCAGTGCTGCTGCAAGTTTGTTACCTTCTCCCTTCTCCTCCCTGGTTGCAGAGAGCAAGTCATCCAACCCATGGGCATCACGCCGAGTGGCAACCTGGCCCCCATGGAGAATGCCATCCATGATATAGCTGATGAGAGGTCCTCTTCTGACTCGGACCTGGGGCTGGACTGATCCTGACCTCTTGCCCCAGCCTCAGAGAGCTGGGCGGCCTCCACCCGCTCTCGTCCAGAACTGGTGCTGCACCTGGAGGCTAGTACCAGACCGGGACTCTCCCCATGGGATCTGAATCCAGCCTGGGCCCCTCACACTTCGCAACGAAGAACCTCCAGCCTCCTTCTCAGCTCTGTAACCACCTCTCCTTCTGGAAGGTCATCATGGCCTGGCTCCACTTGGTCTCTTCCATTGGCAGCTTTGAGAATATCAGACTCCCAATTGCTTCCAGGACTTTTCAGTAGAATTTTTTTTTTTAAATGTATGATGTTTGGGGGGGGGGGGGGGGGCGGAGGTCTCAAGTCGCAGGGGTGAGA